ATTTAACGTGCCTGTTCCTCTTGAGCCTCGTGAGCTGGTCCCAAATTTAGGACACATAAAGGATTAATCAAGATTAAACCCAGGACATGTCAGACAGAACATTTCTATATGCTTATGCAGTGAGAACAACTCCATCAGAACCACCTTGTATAGAGAAGAGTCTGTGCCCTTTCAAGAAACCAAGGGAAACAGTCAGATGCTTGTGTATTTGGATGATCCGAACACACTAAGTATATCCCAAATTTTCAAAAGCATAGGATTGGTTTACAAGGTATGATACTTAAGAAAATAATAATATAGGATTGGTTTTCTGCCTCATGATTTTCCAAATCTTTGCTTCTTCATCTTTGACCCACCATCTTAGAACCAGGACATCTGCTTTATTGAAAAACAAACAAACAAACAAACAACACACATGATCCAGGAGTGAGGCTTTAGAGAAATCCCTGACAAATATTGCACATTGACAACTCCACAAAAGCTTTTGTTTCGGGTCTTCGGCTCCAGAGCAGTTTCAGTTTTGCTTTTCATATGTTTATGCAGCACAATCAATATGAAATGAATCCTATACCCTTTCTGCTAAATACGTATATTGTCCTCAACCAGGGGAAACTGAAATATAGGATGTTTGAAAGAAATTCAAGTATCAACTAATTAGGCTTAATTGACCACATTCATCAAATACATTCTTAGTTTTCAGCTGTAAAGCCAATCTTGTTGATATCCAGCAGTAGTTTCACAGGTATATACTCTGCATTCAAAATATATATACTTGCATACATCCACATGTCCAGGGTTTCAGTACATTGGACCAAATTCTGACATGAATTATACTCCACTGATTTCAACAGAATTTCCTAGGAATATACATAGAGTAGGCAAAACTAGATCCATCACTGCTGCATAGCCTATTTCCTTCTCATTCCTTTCATTGATTTTCTTCCCACTTGGCGCCATTCTTGATGTCTTTGGCAGGTTAAGAGTTAGGCAAATTATTTGGAAACAACTTGTATTTACTGATCCTCATTCACTGTATAAATTACACAATGCAGTCATGTGAGGTAAAAGAAGGATTTTTGCTAATATCTTATTTAAATACTAATTAACAAGTAAGTTCTAAAGATACAGGCACCTTTATCACTCGTGTGCTTCCAAAACATGTTAAAACCTTGATGGAGCACACAATCTTCTATTTCCTGTTGAGCAACTAATACTCATTTAAACACCACACTGGTTTTCTTTTCTTTCCACTTTGTGTCTGCTGTTTGCAAATTGATCCTTATGACTCTACAGATTCAAGGCAGTTATACCTTGAAATTCGTTGGAATGCTGCCAGACCTATTATGTGCAGGACTTTCTAGCTGCATAAATAAAATGTCAACTAACAGAATATACCGGGCATACAAAGCAACATAGAATTACATAATCTGTAATTAAGAGGCATAAAAAGAGCTCCACTATCTTGTTAGGGAAAAACGATAGGTACAACTGCAATTTCAACTAATTCATGCAGCAAAGAGCAAAAAAAAAGGAATGCATAAATATACACAAAAGCCAGCGCATTAGTTCTCGGTATAGATCTAATTAAATTTAGTTGGAACAATAAATTACAATAGACTAGTTTATGTCTCATAACAACCATTGTATTTTTCTTTGTACTTAGCAAATTTAGTCTTTTTGCAGATCTTTTGCTTATACAGGTGCAAATTTCTTGAATCTGACACTGACTTTTCCTGTCCCATCTTTGGCTTGTTTTGCACTACCAGAAAGCTACACTCCTCTGCCACCTAGTGCTTTAAAGAAGTATATATTGCCAGCTCTTGCTGGCACTGTGTTCAACAGAATAGATGAGGACTGTGCAGAAACCTCCTATTAAAATTTCCTTGCTAAATGGGAGATTAAAAAGAAACTTGGTTTATCAACCTCTATGGATATCACAATTGATCACTGCCAGAGATCATCTCTATCTCTGCAGATCTTAGTATGATACAAAATCGTTTAGCAACTTCCATCTTTGTACTTTAGGACATTACATCATCTTCCCGGTTCTTTCTAAAATGTAAAATAAAATAATTTTTACCAAAAATCCTTATAGAGGAAAAAAAATAATAGACTACAACATGTATTTAATCATATGAAAAAGAATGTCTTTTTCAACTGCTAGCTGGTTCCCAATGTATCAAAGTGAAATTTCCCCGAGGTATATAATTTTTGTTTTTAAATGGATTCTGGAGTACAACATTTGTAACAACCAGCTTGATTTTTGTTAGTTTTAATTTACATTGTTTCAAAAAGTATACGTTTACATATTAGCAGTATTGCAATTTATATTTCTTTCAAAATTACATATAAACAGCGTTTATTTCAAGTAACAGACTATGCTACATCTTTTAGAGGAATTCTGGAACTTTAAAAAAAAAAATATTTTTTTAAAAAGTAATGGAGCTTCGTATTGTTAATGTTAATAAAATGAAGCTATGAAAGTGAGCTTTCCTTTATTCTTCTTTTGAAGGAAAAGTCATTCAAACTAAACTGTTCTGACTCTCACTGACGATAATTTCTTTTTTGGAAAATTAACTGGTACTGTATCAATTGCATATACAAATCTTCAGTATTTGTCAGTTATTTCTCATTATACTTTTAGAGAGCACGAATACCAGTTATTTTAATGACTTTTTACCCCCACAGTACTCAGAAACCACTATGAAACATTATCAAGCATCTCCTCTTGTTTGGATTGCACAAATGCAGTACTAACATAAGCAGTATGGCTGTGAAATGAATCCTTACCTAACCGTGACCTGGCAAGTATCTTAAAATGTCTGGTGTTGACACAGCCTAACTTCACTCATGTTTCATAAGAACTCTATTTGTAAAACATCTTCATTGCTTCACTAATGCTATAATTCAACAAACTAATGCAATATACTGCCAATTATAATTATTACTCCATTAGCAGAAACCAGCTCCTCTCTCATGTTTAGAGAAAGTCTTTTTTTTTTTTTTTTTAAATACCGCTGTGTTTCTGAGAAATTAACCCATGACTCTCAACATCGCAGGCTAATTCAGCTTATTTCTCTACAGAACCTTTGTCAAAAAATTAAATATATAAAACCCAACTAAGACAGTAAGGTGTAATTGGTCCTATAATATCTGGACAAAGAAACAAAAAAAAAAATCCCCCTCTCCCTAAAATACGTACACACCTTTCCCTCGGGCCAATATATCTGTCTTATTGCTTGGCTAATCTCACCTGCAATGTATCAGTCTCATCCCATGCAGCTCTGCCAAAAGTAAGCCTTCCACTCTGCATCCTTCTTGCCACCTTTTATTGGCTTCAGTTCTGAGTAAGTGAAAAACAGATATGACTGGAATAAATCCTGGACAAATTGAAAAGAACTTATGTTGTTTGCTTGGATACTGTCAACTAAATGGCATCTATTTACACTTACCAGCTTTCATTATTCCCTTAGACTATGGAGGAAATGTAACATCTCCGCTAACATCTGTTCCTACCAGTTATGTTTCACAACATGGAATCTAGAGTGAGGAAAGCAGAAGTGAAGCATTACAGCACACCCGAGCCCACTCCTTAAGCAGGCATAATTGGCTCAGGCACGTACAAACAAAGGTGGTTGTGGAAAGCGTGGTCCTGTGTCCTCCGCTTTCATATTCCTGTTGTCCACACTGCCCCTTTTCTGACTCTGACACGAGCCAAGCTACAGGGAGGTACCTACTCAAAACCAAGCTGTAGAAAGCCAGGAGACAGTACTCTGTCAGCAGAGCTCCCTGAACCAGGACAGCACAGGAGCAGACACACTCCAGTGCCAAGGAAACACAGGGACAACCCAGCCAGGGTTAGGGGCAGGCTTGCATTTTTTGGCTGCAAATAGCTATTAGACTGGCTGAGCCATAATATCAAACAGTATCGTTTGTATATTGAAATTCCAACCTAAAATTGAAAACAGTCTTAAATGCAATGGTGCTACTGTGTGGCTAAAGTCGAAGTGAAAATCCACAGCTAGGTGCTGTAACTGCACCACTGAAGAGTACCAACGGGCAGTAGAGGGCAGAGCTGCCTCCCTCTGCAGAAGACTCAAGACGGGGAAGGCACCGCGGTTCTTTGTGGTTTTCCAGGCACACACTGACCACCCAGGCTACTTAATGGCAATGGCTGCAAATAATCAGCTTTGACCCTTGTCAAATTTACAGATTTCTAGTCATTACATTTCAATTTGTTATTTCACTCAAGAAATCAAGTGCACTTTGAGGGGAAAAAAAAAGGCTTTCCATATCCCTTTAAGACAGAAAATTATTTTGTATACTGACAACAGCAAGGAACACTTAACCTTCAGTCCAGTACAGAAAAAGCGCAAATAACTACATGTCAACCACTATTTTACTCAAAAACAGGAATATCATCAAGTATCTCAAACAGCAGCATTGTGCAGAGATCCAGGCAGATTCTGTTAAGAGCCATGGAAATAACCAGATAACTGTATCTTTTCATGTAAATGTCCTTTGTATCTAATCAACATTGGGTATAAACTCCCCCCCCCGCCCTTTTTTTTTCTCTCCTCCAAAAGTGCAGCAGCCAAAAACAGAAAGCAGATTTCCCTGGGAAATTTAACGTACTTTATTTTACATCTATGAATGTTTTCTCTTTGTTAAAAAAATGTTATTTACAAAACCAGCACATAACATTAGCATACAAAATATTCAGTGTACTGTATGCAGATGTCCAAACCCAAGGTAGATCCTCATTTCTATTTAATTGTTGACTGCTATGATGTATCACTAAGAAGCATTTCCCACTGCATGCTATAGAAACACCACCTGACTGCAAAATCATGTGGCATGACATGTAATTCAAGCAGGCTTCCCAAAAGTTCATGTGTTTTATGTATTAACATTGAGCGAACAAAACGAGGAAAACATTCTTGAAAATCATGATCTTTCTTGCTGTAGCAACTGGTTTTGTTCGCATTAGTTCTATAGCGTCAATTTTGAACAAACCAAGAGGGACGCTTCCTGGCTCTTTCAATGATCCGCTTGCCTTCATCTTTTTCTGTGGGCTTTTCTCCATCATAGAGGACGACAGTCTCTACAGTTGGAGCATTAAATGGTCCTCCTTCCTTTTCACGTATTTCCATTCGTATCAGTCGAGTTTCTGCTTTGACCTTTGCATAACAATAGCCACAAAGGACGTGTTTCTGTTTCAAGTTTCCACACTCGGGACAAACATCAATGTTCCTCTAAAAAAGACAGTGCAAAATAGGAAATTTTGTAATTTGAACAACAGCAACAAAAGAAATAGGGAACAATCACAAACTACTAAAAATGCTAAATGAAATACCAGAGAAGTTCAATTGCCTTTTCAAAATTTATTCTTCTAAGTAAAATGATTTTTCTGTAATGTATTGCTAGGTCGAATACTTACTACGAAAACTAGTCTACAAAGTCAATACCTAAATCATTAAGCCTATTGATGTTTAGAAGACGAAAGACCTATCAACTCAATCAGATGCACAGAAAGTATAGACCTTTTCTATTTATACTAGCTGTTTAGCTAAAATTCACATTTTGTTGGCTTGCACCTAACCCGTCACTGTTTATTTAACCACAAACTACTGTCACACATGATGAATGTACCTGTTACAAAGTATTTTGAGGATTACAAGGTCTTTTAAGCTTATTTACAAATAAATTCCAGAAAGCTTTTTCAGTCAGTATTGACCACTATAATGGTTCTATAAAATAAGTGAGATGAAAATGACTGGCGTAAATCTTACTCCAGCATGGTTGTTTGCCATCAACAAAATTATTTGCAGTGAATAAGGTAGCAAGCCTGCGGAAATTTGGTTATTACCTTTACTTTTATAAGCTTACTGGGATTTCTTCGCCTGCAGCGGTTCACTTCAATGGTGCGCCTTTTCTTTGGCGCCGCCATCCACAAGATGCTATCGAGCAGGCTTGGCGCCTCATTACTTTCGCTAGTGTCGTTTACCGGTTGTGGAAGAAAAGCTGGAGCTTGGACGGCTAGTGCTGGTCCTGAAGGAAAAAGAAAAGGTAATTCATTACACCCAACCCCCATTTTCGCGTGCAGCCGAGGAAATACGACGCGGATGCTACGACAGCGGCGCCTCTCCCCCCGTTCCCTCGCTGTCCCCAGGGCTGCGCGCTCTCCTGCTCCAGCACCCTCCCTCAGCCGTTCAACGGTAAAAATGAGTCCTGCCGCCCTCTCCTTCAGCCGAGAGGAGAACAGACCGGTACCTACCCCAGGGCGGGCACTGGCCCCCGGAGAAACCCGGCAAAAGGCCGCGCTCCAGCCGCCCCCAGCAGCGCTGAAGGAGAGCGCGAAGCCGCGGCAACGGAGAGAAGACGACCACCAGAGCCGCCATATCCCACACAGCCCCGCCAAGGCCTCAGGGGAGGGGAAGCCGGTCGCTCGCCCGAGGGCGCAGTGGGCATGCGCACCTGTCGCTGAGCCTTCTGGGAAACCGAGTTCCCCGAGCACTTCGCGGCAGAACGGGGACGGAGACCAGGACTTCAAGTCCCAGCATTCCTTTCGCTACCGGGGGGGCGGTGAGAGGGCGCTCGAGGACTTCAACTCCCAGCATGCCTCGCAGCGCGCCTCTTCGCCAATCGCGTCTCTCACCGGGCCCGGCGCTGCTTCCCGGCATGCTCCGCCATTCACCAGCTCCTCGCCAATCAGCGCGCTAGCTGCGTCCTCGTGGAGGAAGCGGGAGGAGCGACTGCGCAGGGGTGCCTGGTGAGGGGAGTGGAGGGGTTTGTTCCAAAATGGCGGAGCGCGGCTACAGCTTCTCCCTCACTACATTCAGGTACTCGGGGGGAGGAGGGCTGCAGGGCTGGGCTCTCGGCGGGCAGGCCGGCGGGCAGGGGGAGGAGGGCACGCAGCCTACGCGGAGCGGTCCTGCGGCGACGGGGCAGGACGGAGCGGGCACTTTGCAGAGTCATCGCGTCCCCGGCGGGGCCGCGGAGCCGGGCCCGCGAGCGCTGGGGGGGGGGGGGGCGGCGGGGGGGGGCCCCCTGACAGGCCCCCCCGCCGCCAGGCTGAGCCCCTACGAGTGGTACAACCCCCACCCCTGCCTGCGGGAGCGGCACAACCTCCTGGAGAACCAGTACACCCTGGGCAACAGCCTCTGGGTC